ACATGTGAAGGAGCATATATATATATATATATATATATATATATTATATAAAATAAGATGCAGCAGCTGTAAACCGTCCAGCTAAAACAACCAGTACCCTTCTCCGTTCACCCTACCCACAAAAATAAAAAACGATAGCACTAGGCAAGATAAACTTTTAGCAAAGGAATATGCTCTTTATGTCCTAACTTTTTGTTTTCCGAGATTCAAAATATAAGTAATTTTGATTGAAGTAAAATTATAGTATTTTTTAGACGAAAAATAAATATCACATAAATTAAAACGAACAATAAATAATGAGAAATAAAAAAGCGTACCCTAGCACCGGGAGAAGCAGGAGTGGCAAATAGGACAGCACAAACAGCTCCTAGTGGAGCTATAGTCATTGATATCCCTTTTGCTGCCATTATTTGGTCTATTTTTCCTAGCATCGCCATTGCCGCAAATGCCCCTATATATTATAGTAAATAGAGTAATAAATGCATTAATTCTGACCTCATATCAAAATAGGGTAAGTATTATTACTGAGAGAACCCTACCTGCAGAAGGCCAAATAATGTCACTTAGTGGAGGAGCTTTCGAGGACTTTTCTGGCATCCAACCATCCCATACTCCTGCCGATGCTCTAATGGCCAAACGACATGATTTTTTTCTTTTAGTTACTGTCCTGTTTGCTAGTATTCTTTCGTTCAAACCCAATCTCCCAAGTCCTAAGATTCTGTTTTCATTTGAAGAATTCAGTACAGAAAATGTGTGCGAGGACGAAAAAGACGTCGGTGGAAGCAAAATGCAATGATTAGGGAGATAACTAGAACGGAGATGAAGCTGCGCATTCATTTTTTCCGATAGATTTGTTGTTCTACGCAAAATAGAGCAGTGACATATGAACAACCATCAACAAGGCAGAATGAACAATTTTTGGATTGCACTTTTTAAATTTAATTTTTGATTTGGGTGAATTAGGGCGGTTCAAGTTAGAACAAAGATACCCCTTTGGGTGGAAGTTGGAAATTGGGATGAGCGCCAGGGACGAGACTCTTCAATATATTGAAGGGGCACATCGACCCCCTTGTAAGTAGTGGTGGGGGTATCCAGCTCGGCTAATTTTGTCCAATTGTCTTTTTTTATTATTAGACCCCTCCAAGAGTGTGGTTTTAAGGTGCCAATTGAATTAGTACCCTATTATATTATTTTCCTAAAGACATCTAATTAGGTTTTACAAATAAAAAAACATTTGAATTTGATGTATTTGAGTCAAACGTCTATGAAAACAGTTTTTCTATTTTCACGAAATAGTGATAAAATTTGCTTATACTCTACCTTCTTTAGACTCTACTTAGTGAGATTTACTGAATTTGTTATTGTTGTTGATGTAAAAAGTAACATGCCCTAATTTATTAATTGTTTCTTTAATGTACTTGTCAATTTTCAAATCAAAATAGATATCATTATATTTTTTTTCTATTTGATCCTTCTAATTTTAATTCTTTTTAAAAGTATGAGTAAATTAAGTTTGAATTTTTTTACTAAGTTTTATATTTTACTTATGATTTCTCATAAAGCGTGTAAAGGAAAAGGGAAGAATTAATATGAAATGAAGAGTATATTTTTACATTTTAATTAACAAGAACAAGAACAACAAAATAAAATTAGGTATGAAAAAAAAGAGTATACAGTGAACACATTAAAAATAATGATCGTTTAAAATTGTCAGTGACCATAAAAAAATGATTTATAATTTGTTGTTATTTGTTTAAAAGTAATTGGGGAGTAAAATGACGTTGGAGTTTGGGAAAAAGATAAGTAGAGGTAACATATCATTAATTTTCAATTCATGCATTATGCCAAGGGTTATGGGCGGCCATGCTCTTATCACAAATGCCGGCGTCTTTTCCGGGCCACCTTCAAAGAATGTTTCCTTAATTATTCAACTTGTCACTGAATGTTTTACATTTGATTTAATTAATTATGGGTAGATATATTAATTAATCAAACTGATATTTTCCAATAAGAGTTTACCCAATATACATTATATATACCACAAATTAGAGTAAATTACTTTTGGAAAAAATATTATATAATTATGAGGTCTGAATATGTCGCTTTATTTGAGAAGATTAAAGTTTATTGTAATATAATTTTCACTGATTCAATATTATGACTTTTGATTTGTCTTTTCCCAATGATAAAACAGTTCAACAACGTTATATAACTCAAATTTAGTCAACTCCTCTCATGACTGTCGATGTAAGACTTTTTATCCTAATCAAGGGTGTCACATACACGCTTTCTTATGGATTCAATATCTTAATTGAGATTTGTCCCATCGCATGAGATTTGTCTAGATTCAACATTAAGGTTTGTCCCGCCTTACCGGAATTTATCTAAACTCAATTGAGCTTAGACCCACAACTCAATTTATCTAAGTTGGAGTGTCACACTAATTATGATACACTTAATATTTTTTATTTCTAATATTAAAACTCACAATAATACTAACAATTATTATTTTATTGTCAAGACAAAATATAGAATATGAATTGAATATCAAAAGATAAAAATACCGTTAAGAGTAGATAATTAATGTGTTAAATCCACATATTATTATTAATTAACTGTAACTCACACAAATTCATGTTTTTTTGTACCAATATATGCGCATAAATAAAAATAAAAATGTAGTTTATAATAGATCGATTATTTGGAGTCTTGGACATATCACCACTCCCAAAAATGCCAACGTTTTCTGTGTTTGGACGTTTGGACATGTACCGCTATGCAAAAATAATTTTTTTAATTACCACTAGGTACTTTAATAAATTACTTAAATCTAATGATTTCAAGATAATATTTGAGAAATCTTAATAGCTCAATTGTTTGATTACCTAACTTTTTATCTTATTAATGATTGGTGAGAGTTCGATTCTTCGCCACTTCATTTCTCCCATTCTCGTAACTCCCATTTACAATAATAATAATAAAAAATAAAAGTTGATAATGTTTGACAAACTAATAATGCTTAGAACAGTCACAAAAAAACTTGTCTTGTTACGTTGTTTCCTTTTCACAACACTTGTATAAAAACACCAACAAAAACAAAAAAGAAAAAGTATTTATTATTGCATTAGTGTGGGGGACAACCGCAGAGGCGGAGACAATGTTAGGAGTTTGGGAGTTCTAAATCTGTTTTCTTTGGGAGTTCAGATGTTAATATTCATATATTTATTTAATTTTCTAATGCAAATATAGGATCTACGAAAAAGTTAATGGGTTCATCTGAATCGATGAATCCCACCTAGCTCCGCCTCTGGAGACAAGTGCACAGATAGTTGCTTCAGCTTCGAGCATCACTGTTTATAATATATTGTTTATAATAATAATATATTAAGTATGTATATTAATAAAATTTATGTATATAATTCATCGGTTTGGTTCGGTTATTCTTCGGTTTTTTTTGAATAAAACCATAACCAAACCAAATCTGAATAAAATCAATTTTATTTTATCGATTTGATTCGATTTTTCAATTTGAATCGGTTTTTATCCAAACCGTGAACACCCCTAGTTTATAGAATACCCCAACATTACAATTTATTTAGTGTATAATCGTCTCGGAATTTATTGTACTCATAAATTATATAATGCAGCTCTTGTATAAAGTTTTTTTTTTCTCCATGCAGGTACAAAGCTGAGAAACCACTTTCACTTGCTGAATTTTGAGCCTCTTTAGTTCCATTGAAATCAAAACGTGTAAATATGTATATTAAGAGATGTATTGAAATTTAAATTCTAAATCTAAATACAAATCTGAATATTAAAATGTTACAAATATTAAATATTTAAATTTTATTATATTTTATCTTTATTTAAAAAGTAGTAAATCTAAAAAATAATATATACTAAATTAGTATATCAATAAAATATTTTATAAAATTATATGGCAGGTGGTGGTTCTAATAACTACGATGTTAGGTAATGGTGATTTTATGGGTAGTAGTTAGTGGTATGATGGTTCATGGTTGACAGTAATGGTTGATGGGGTTTGAGGGTAAATTGTGGTGGCGGCTTATAGTTTTGATGCATGATAGTGATAACTAATGATGATGGTAAATCATAATCAGTGATGGATGTTTGGCAATGTATAATAGTGATTAATGTGGTGATTGTCGATAGTGATTGATTGCCGATAGATATAAATGTAAATGGTAGCTAGTAGAGGTGAAGGTTGCCGGTAATTTATAATGGTTGTGAATCATAATTTAATAATGGATGTTTGTTGATGTGTAATACTCCCTCCGTCCCATTTTATATGTCACTTTTTTACTTTGCACTTGCATTAAGAAATGATGTAATTTTACCCTTCTACCCTTATTTAATTTTTTTTGGAACTCAAGTTTTCAATCAATGAATATGAATTAATTTAACCAATGAACATAAATCATTTACTTAACTTTTCTAAGTTGGTGAAATGTATATTTTCAAGGCTAATAACTCACAAGGGTAAAAAAGGAACAATATGGTAATTTATGCATTGATTTTATGAAATGACAAATAATATAGACCAACTATTTATAGAAATGGATGATATATAAAATGGGACGGAGAGAGTAATAGCTAATATGGTGATTGTTAGTAGCGATTGATTGTCATTAGTAATAAATGCAAATGGTTGCTAGTAAATGTGATGATTGACTGTAGTCTATAATGTTTGATTGAATGGTGTTATGGTTGAGGAGAATGGAATTGAGTAGTGAGTTGTCGTAGTAGATAAGGTGAATGGCAGCAACCGAAGTTGATAATGATGGGGGATGATAACAACAGTACTAAATGTAAATATCTTAACTATATTAAGACTTCACTACGTATCTTAATCATTTAATTCTATTATGATCCATCAAGTGATTGCAACATAAAAAATCCACATTAAATGGTTACATATAAATGATGAAGATTCAAACAAAAAATAAACTAATTCAATGATTGAGATCTGAATAATTAAATTTTAAAACGAGGCATTATTTTGAAATATAAACAGATTTTCAAACCCAAGTCCACGACCCAACAAAGATACAAGTGGAAACCAAAGCCCATAATTATCTGGAACGAGAACCAAACCTAATCCCAAAGTTAACTGGAAAGAAAACCCAAACCTAAGCCCAAATAACAATCACATAGGAGGATGAAAACCTCCATCGACGACCAAATTATGGCCGGTGACAAACTGAGAGTCATCCGACACCAAAAACAAGACAGCATCAGCTACATGAGAAGCTCTAAGAGCTCCAACTTTCAAGCAATTGAAGGATTCAAACAGTTTTTCCAGCTCCTCTACACCCATTTTCATCGATTTCTCTAACAATGGTGTTGCCACTGCTGCTGGAGAAACACAGTTCACTCGTATACCATACGCACCCAGTCCTTTACTTGCAGACCTCACCAATCCCAGTACTGCGTGTTTCGACATTGCGTAGTCAATTTGCCTCGTTACCCCCATCGTTGCCGCCGCGCTCGCCGTGCATATTATCTTTCCTTTTACCCCACCTTCCACCATAGCCTTCGCCGCGTGTTTCACGCAAGCGACTGACCCACGAACGTTGACCGCGAATAGGTTATCTAAAGCATCCAGATTGAACCCTAGAATATCTTGTGCGTGCTCGTTGTGGCTTGCAATTCCGGCGTTGCTGAACATTATATCGACTCGACCGTGAATTTCCACTGTTGATTGTACCAGGGATTGGACTTGTTGCTCGTCTGTAACGTCACATTTAATGAAAGTGCAGTGAGTGGACCCGATTGATTCCGCAACCGATCGACCTTTTTCTTCTTGGATGTCAGCAATTACTACCTGAGCGCCATGTTGAGCAAACAGATATGCTGTCGCTTCGCCAATTCCGCTTGCTCCTCCGGTGATGATGGCAATTTTACCGTTCAATTTTGGATTGAATGATGGCGGAATTGGGTTTTCCATTTTCTTTCGACTTTTTTGGACGCACTTTGAAGGTAACAAACACTTTGGCACTAGTGTATTTATATTCAACAAACTGTTTGTTGGAATAGGAAAAAAAAAGACATGTGCATACCTAATGATTATAATTAGGTAAATGCCAACATCAGTTGAATTTTGGGATTTATTGAATTAGCAGAAGTACCCTCAAATTTGTCAGTTCATATGTTGGAATCATTCAGAAAGTAGATCCCATAGCTTATTGTAGGCTTTGTAGCCAGCCAACCCTGGACCCGGGGGACCAGGAGCAGAGGTAGTAAGGGGTTAGGTTCATCTGAATCCGTTTGATAGAAAATTATATCATGTGTGTATATATAGTTAGATATTGCATCCATTTCAACTTATTCACGTGTTTACTTTTCATATTTTGAAGTGAAAATTTTGACTCCACCACGGAGATATATTTCATTTTCTTGTTATAATCCAGCAAATTCCGTCCATTCAGGCGAAAAAAACTTTGGCTCACATGTAATAGGAATCTCCACTTCACAAGGAAGATGTCTCTAGTTTTTCAACATGTTATCGGCTATAAACTAGTAATTTAAATCAATAACAATAACAGCAGTGTTTTGAAGTAATCTCGTTTACTTCTAAAAGCATCAAATGCCTCCTTAGCCCTGCCTATTACCATCCTCAAATTTACAAAATGGCCGACCAAGAAAACGAACTTAATGCAGATAGTTGTCCCACATAACTTTTAAAAAGTCAGTGGCAATCATACAACAAATCACTAGCAGATTTACACGCAAGTAATAACCAAGTTTCTTCTTTATTTATGTCTGACAATTTGTCTTAATTGATGGATCCAGTTTAGGAAAGTTGTGTCAATGGTGAGTGACAACATGGCCGCGATGTCAGAGATCAAGAACAAGGACTGTGCATCTGTGTTCTGTCACATGATGAAGTTGAATAAACAAACGAGCAAAGATGTGACGGATACCATGACCACAAAATTTTCTACATTGGAGTTTGACATAGTGATTATGCTTCCTTCTGGTCATGCTCTATTTCGATGAGGGTGTTTGGATTGACTTAAAAGTTGGTCAAACATACTTTCAAGTCAGTTTTTGACTTCTGGAAGTGTTTGATAAATATAAAAAATAACTTAAAATAAATAAAAAATGACTTAAAATAAGTTACGAAGTGTTTAGCAAGGTAAAAAATGACTTAAAATAAATCAGAAATCAAAAGTCATTTCAATTTGACTTTTTATTTTTGACTTAAAAACTATTTTTTTTAAGCCAATCCAAACAGGCTCTAAGGCAGATTCTGGAAAAAAGGCACATCAATATATAGCTATTACACCGATTTGGCACTTTCTATTTTTCTAGAGACAGGACCTTACTCCTTAGCGTTTAAAATTAAAGTGAGAATATGTATCACACTATTTTAAAGTACATGAGGATTATTGTATACAATGTAATCACACTATTTTTTTTTCTGTTGTATACAATGTTTATCACTTATCACACTCTATTTTACTCATGTAAAATATAAAGTGGCCAAGTGAAAGTGAACGGCGGGAGTGCTATTCATTCATTTAGACACTTTTTTTTGTTGAAATACATAGAAAGTGTTGTCAGTTATAAGCAGCATTGTCAATATGTCCGAGTGGTTAAGGAGACAGACTTGAAATCTGTTGGGCTTCGCCCGCGCAGGTTCGAACCCTGCTGTTGACGTTTTTTTTTTTTTTTCTTTTTTACATATATACAAATTATAAGAAAATATCTACAACAAAAAAATTATCCAAAAATTTTGAATGTAAATTTTTCTATTTTACGTAGAGACCAAAGATCACAATATATAACATTTTGTATACACTATTATACAGTGTAAAGTATAAAATTCAAAGCCCTCTCGACTATTTTATATATTGTATAACTATGTATATTCTTGACTATTATATGATCTAGGAAGAAAAACCAATGGTACAATTGTATGAAGCTCACAGTGAAATTGGGAATTAGATATAGAAGAATGTAGTGATACTATATGTGGGTAAAATTGCCAAACTTGTCACTGAATTACTGGGAATTGGAGGCTCTTAGTAAGATTGGTTGTGCATTGAGGAAGCCTATGTATGTAAATTCAAATGTAGTCTTTGGTCAAACTTTACGAATTTTAAATTTTCAAAACTAAAATTGTTAGCATGTGCTTTGTGAGGCTCTTTTAAAATAAAATATATAATTAAGATCTAAAAAATAATAATTAAGGAATAAAAATGGTGTAAAACCTTAGATTTGGTAAAAAATTACGTGTCTACATTGTTAATTAATAATGTAATCAAAACATTGAAATTTAGATATTTTTACATAACCAGCCAGCACACTGCATCTTAATTACAAAGTCACGTTATGAAGATTCGAAATCCATCCAAGAGAAGAGCTACATTACAAGGGTTTATCTAGATGTTGCAGGTTTAAGTCCCCCTTTGTTAGGGAGTATTATATCCCTAATCTAGAATTTTCTGGTGCAAATCTTAATTTTGCCAGACTCCAATGTCCAATATGAGTAAGGGGCGCTGATAAAGGATGAGAAACCACGAAGAAAAAGAAACTCAAAAGAGACAAATTTGTTTGTTTCACAATGAATTCATTAGATCCGGAAGACTGATACAATGAACTCATATAATTTCTTATTGACTTTAACCTTCATAATGATATATAGTTCTCAATTATTGCCGAATTAAAAAATATAGGGGATTCGTGTTCAAGAATTTGTTCTTGATCGAAATTCGTGTTCAAGAATTTGTTCAATATCTTTCGGAGAAAGGGGATTCCATCGAGGAGGAACCTCGAGGTCCATTTATGGTGGAATCTTTCTATTTGTCGAGTAATGCTTTGATCGATGATAGTCTTTGTGAAATACTAAGCTCTATAGGTGTGCCTTTGCATAGAATGTCACCCATCATCACTGAAATCTCTTCATGATCAATGTCTCTACCAGCCAATTCAGTGCTTCTCCTCATTGCAGTTAACAGTTGGGATCCCACTTCCAGAGAGAATTAAAGATGAACGTGTTTATCTTACCCCGTTTTTGGGTATAAGGTTCATGTATAGAATTTTATTTACGAAGAAAGCTATACATGTAATCTTCATCAGATTTTAGTTTCAACTGATATTGGTTTGTAAACTGCAAGCCAAGTAATAATGGATTTTCAATACTTACATATGTTGCCGCCTGTAATTAATGGAGTAGTTGTTATAATACATATTTCAATTTTACACTTGCAGTTTCCAGTTCAATTTTATACTACATAGTTTCTATCATAAGTTTGTGTGTCAAAGATTCACAAGTTCCACATAATTTCATGCAATTTCTTATAATCTGCACAATCACTTTGGTTATATTGCTATTGTTCATGTCCTCGAAGATTTTTAATTTGATGACTGTTTACAATCTATAACAACTGCATCAGGCCCAAACATGCCCACTACTTCTCGAATTGTAACTTTGAATCTGCCAAATTATAATGTAATCAAAACATTGTAATTTGGATAATTTAAAATAGCTAACACACTGCATCTTAATTATAAAGTCAAGACACTCAACCTTCAAATAGAGAATACACGTTACGAAGATTTGAAATCCATCTAAGAGGAGCTATACTACAGGGTTTAACCATATGTTTCGGGTTCGAGTCCCTCTACATACATTGTTGCGCCACGGAGTGTTTTACCATAATTGGGACTTTTGAGCACGAATCCAATTTAGTGAGCTCCAATATTGTTCAATTGGGCACCGAATGCAGGATGAGAAACCAAAAAAGAAAAACAGATAAACAAACTCAAATGAGACAAATTCGTTTGTTCTCACTGTTTCACAATGAACTCATTGGATCTGGAATACTGATCAAGTCACCATCCACCCCCAAATCATGCCCACTAACAAAAGCAAAATCATCGGAAGCTAGAAACAGAGCAGCTCCCGCCAAGTGTTTCACCGTCAGTGTAATACCCTTCAAACTAGTCTGCGGACCATACCTTTTCAGAGCTTTCATTGCCTCTGCTTCCGCGCTGATCATCAATGGCGTCATCACTGCAGAAGGTGAAATATTATTCCATACTCACCCAATTGCCTACAAGCTGATCTCACTAACCCTAGCACAGCGTGTTTCGACATTGTGTAATCAGTCCGCCAGGGTCCTCCCCTGCTTTCCCCAATACTGCCTGTACAAATTATGCTACCTCTAACACGCTTCTCCACCATGGCTCGTGCTGCGTGCTTCACACACGCCGCCATGCCACGAGCGTTGACGTTCATCACCCGATTGAATTTGGAAAGATCCAGATCGAGCACCTTTTGACCCGAATTACCAACGATTCCTGCGTTACTGAACATTATGTCGAGTTGACCATATTTCTGGACCGTCCAATCCACCATGGCTTTCACTTGATTTTCATCACTCACGTCGCATTGCACGTAGCTGCAAATCTGTGAAGGGATGGATGCCGCCACGGCTCTGCCCTTTTCATCTTGGATGTCGGCGATGACAACGGCTCGTGCGCCGTGTTGGGCAAAAAGGCGTGCTGTTGCTTCCCCAATTCCGCTGGCACCACCAGTCACTATGGCCACTTTTCCTTTCAGCTTCTGCGTGACCTCTGCCATTTTTGGTTCGTTTTGTGCTTTACCCTTTATTCAAACTTGTCTTGTGATTTATATTGCTATTGTTCTCATCTTGTGTTTTGGTTATCACATGACTTCATAGTTGTAACTGTTTTTCTTTGTTATGCAATGCTACCTCTTCTACATATTTTTTTTTTCGTTCCTTCTATATGTTTTATTTGCGTTATTCAAAAAACATCCTCTCTAGCTTTGTTAGATAGTGGTACGTAATAATACACATACCTATTTTTTTAGATCATATTGAGTATATTGTTATTGTTGCCAATAAGGCCACACTTAAACATATTTAGATAGAGGTAAACTGGTGTGCCCATTTTCTAACAAATGAAGAACATAAT